CCTCCTCCTCCTCCTCTTCCTCCTCCTCCTCCTCCTCTTCCTCCTCCTTGTACTCCTCTTCCTCCTCCTCCTCCTCCTCCTTGTACTCCTCATCCTCCTCTCTTTTCCTTCGATAAATGTAACGTCTTTGCTCTATCCCTCCCTTCCTCCCTTCGTGTATTTTCTTCCTCCTCATTCCCTGTAATTCTCCTTTCAGGAAATTTTGAAAAATTTGCGGAGAGCCAGACAGGAGGCGGAACAGGAGCAGGTAACTTAATCACCACTGACTCTCCTTGCCGCTCCCTCCTCCTCTATTCCTTTCCTCCTCCACCACCACCCTCCTCCCTCCTCCTCTATTCCTTTCCTCTCCCTCCTCTTCCACCACCACCGTCCTCCCTCCTCCTCTATTCCTTTCCTCTTCCTCCTCCTCCTCCTCCACCACCGTCCTCCCTCCTCCTCTATTCCTTTCCTCTTCCTCCTCCACCACCGTCCTCCCTCCTCCTCTATTCCTTTCCTCTTCCTCCTCCTCCTCCTCCACCACCACCACCACCCTCCCTCCTCCTCTATTCCTTTCCTCTCCCTCCTCTTCCACCACCACCGTCCTCCCTCCTCCTCCCTCCTCCTCCTGTCCTACTCTGTCCCACATCCTCTTTTGCCCTCCCACTTTCCTTTCGTCGACTGCCCCTTTCCTATCCTTATGCTGCCCTCCATCATCCCCCTCCTCCTCTCTTCTCCCTCCTCCTCCCTTGACCTGACCAACACAAGCAGCAGCGAACGCTTCCTGTTGAAGTAGAAGTGACGATGGAGGAATTGTACAGGGGAGGAAACAAGGTTCACGACCCTCCTCAGTCTCCTTCCACTCCTCCCGCACCCGCACCTCCTTCCTCCACCCCTTTCCCCACCCGTTTCTCCACCCCCTGCTCCTGCTCCTCCTGCTCCTCCTGCTCCTCCTGCTCCTGCTCCTGCTCCTCCTCCTCCTCCGTCTCCTCCTCCTCCTCCGTCTCCTCCTCCTCCTCCGTCTCCTCCTCCTCCTCCTCCTCCTCAGTCTCCTCCTTCCTCTCCGCCTCCGCTGCCTCCTCCTGCTGATCCAACGCCTTCGCCTCCGCCTCCGCCTTCGCCTCCTCCTCCTGCTCATTTCACTTCCTCCCAGATAGTTCGCTCGAAAGACGGAGGAGATCAGGTTCTCATGATCCCAAGAGGCGCTCAAGATGGAACGCAGGAAAGGAGGACGAGGAAGAGGAAGAGGAAGAGGAAGAGGAGGAAGAGGAAGAGGAAGAGGAAGAGGAGGAAGAGGAAGAGGAAGAGGAAGAGGAAGAGGAAAGAAGAGGAGGAAGAGGAAGAGGAAGAGGAAGAGGAAGAGGAAGAGGAAGAGGGAAGAAGAGGAGGAGGAGGATGGGGATGAGGATGAGGATGAGGGAAGAAGAGGAGGAAGAGGAAGAGGAGGATATCAAAGACGTGACGATTGTTTTCAGATTTCTCTGGAGGGTCGAGGAGGAGATAGCTGCATCTTCATTCTCAAGCAAGCACCGCACGCAGTGTAAGATAGACACTGAGAGGAGGAAGGAGAGCAGAGAAGAGGGCGAGGAGGAGAGCGGGACGGAGACTAGATACAACGAGGCCGCACCAGTCGTGTGCGAAGCTGATGCCGTACTGGAGAGCAGGAGGGAAGCGGAGGGAGGAGGGTAGAGGATGAGGAGGAGAGGGAGGAGGAGGAGGAGGAGGAGCAGCAGCAGCAGCAGCAGACGATCCTCTCACTTTGTTGGTGCAGCTTCTCTCGCCATGAGGAGGACCTTCCAACCGAGATTCTCAGCTCTCTCCTTG